TTGAATTTCGTTCCCAGCAATTAGTGCCTCCAGATTTTAAGGCAATGCACCACAACAATCATTTCCTTCTTATGTACTGAATATCGTTGCTCAGCATCTTTCAGTTTTTGGCTTTCAAAGGCAATAGGGTGTCCCTCCTGAACAAGGACTCCTCCAATGGCACGGTCAAAGGCATCAGTGTACACTTTGAAAGGCAGATCAAAGTCCACCAATCTCAGTACAGGTGCAGAGGATACTACATACTTCAGCTTCTCAAAAGCTGTCTGACATGTATCATTCCAATCCCACTTTTGGTCTTTCTTCAGCAAGTCAGTCAGGACATTGCATTTCTTTGAATATCCTTCAATGAACTTGCGGTAGTAATTGGCTAGGCCAAGAAACGACCTCAGTTCAGACACCTTGGTTGGTGCAGGCCAATCAATAATTGCCTTCACCTTCTTCTCATCCATCCTAATTTTGCCCTGGCTAATGTAATGTCCCAAGAACATCACTTCTTGGCGACATAACTCACATTTTTCCTTTTTGACATACAGCTGGTGTTCCCTAAGCCGTGAGAACACAATCCTCAAATGATCTATGTGATCCTCCAACGTTTCACTATAGATTACAATGTCATTTAAGTAAACAATTACAAAGACATCTATGTAATCATAAAAAATATCATTCATTAGATTACACAAAGTTGTCGGGGCATTAGTGAGCCCAAACGGCATTACAAGAAATTCAAAAGAACNACGTTTCACTATAGATTACAATGTCATCTAAGTAAACAATTACAAAGACATCTATGTAATCATAAAAAATATCATTCATTAGATTACACAAAGTTGTCGGGGCATTAGTGAGCCCAAACGGCATTACAAGAAATTCAAAAGAACCATAACGCGTCACACATGCAGTCTTTGACTCATCTCTTTCTTCAATTCTAACCTGCCAATACCTAGTCTTAAGATCCAGCTTTGTATAGAAAGTGGCCTTGGACAGTTGGTCGAACAGATCAGTAACATTCGGAACAGGGTACTTGTTTTTGATAGTCACCTTGTTCAAGNTTCACACATGCAATCTTTGACTCATCTCCTTCTTCAATTCTAACCTGCCAATACCTAGTCTTAAGATCCAGCTTTGTGTAGAAAGTGGCCTTGGACAGTTGGTCGAACAGATCAGTAACATTCGGAACAGGGTACTTGTTTTTGATAGTCACCTTGTTCAAGGCACGATAATTGATGCACATGCGCAACGATCCATCTTGCTTCTTCTGGAACAAAACAGGAGCTCTGTATGGCACCTTGGATGGCTTCATACTATCAGAATTTAGCAATTTGTTCAATTGTTTCCTCAATTCTGTTAGTTCCATTGGCGACATCCGGTAAAGGGCATGGGCTGGAGGCTTTGCACTAGGCTCCAATTCTATCTTGTGGTTAATTGCACGTCTGGATGGAAGATTCTTGGGGAGTTCAGGGGGCATAACATCAGCAAATTCGATCAGTACATCTGTCACAGTANATTCCATGGGCGACATCCGGTAAAGGGCACGGGCTGGAGGCTTTGCACTAGGCTCCAATTCTATCTTGTGGTTAATTGCACGTCTGGATGGAAGATTCTTGGGGAGTTCAGGGGGCATAACATCAGCAAATTCGATCAGTACATCTGTCACAGTATCAGGTACTTCAACCAGCACATCTGGTTTGATCTCCACCAAGGCTGCTAGGTATGTCATCTCGCCTTTCTTCAACCTCGCATTTACTTGCATAGTGGACAGCATTTCCACCTTTCGCTTTCCATCTTTCTTGCTTTGGTCTGCCATGACTGCAGGCACAAAACAGGGTGCTTTCTCNTTTCTTCAACCTCGCATTTACTTGCATAGTGGACAACATTTCCACCTTTCGCTTTCTATCTTTCTTGCTTTGGTCTGCCATGACTGCAGGCACAAAACAGGGTGCTTTCTCATCCGTGATCAGTATTACGTTCAGATGTGGCATTAGTGCCATTTTCGCTGTAACAAAGAATTCATTCCCTAGGATGACATCAAAGTCGTCCAAGGGCACAACCATTAAACTCATTTGGCCTTCTCACAGACCCACCTTTAGGCGTATTTTTGCTGTACAACATACTGACATTGTTTCAAAATTTACTACCTTGAGTTTGCCTGAATTTTCTGACAATTTCAGGCCAAACTTTTTCACCTCTCTCTAGGCAACAAAGTTATGGGTGGCTCCAGTATCCACCATTGCCTGAACTTTCTTGTCATTCACCCAGGCCTGAACAAACATGAGGCCTTTGCGGGGTTGTTGAACTTTGTCCACGGTAATTGCGTTCAGCAACTGGAGAGGGTTGACTCGGGTAGGACAGTCATCATCACTGTCATTCTCACTTGCAGCANTTGAATTTTCTGACAATTTCAGGCCAAACTTTTCCACCTCTCTCTGGGCAACAAAGTTATGGGTGGCTCCAGTATCCACCATTGCCTGAACTTTCTTGTCATTCACCCAGACCTGAACAAACATGAGGCCTTTGCGGGGTTGTTGAACTTTGTCCACGGTAATTGCATTCAGCAACTGGAGAGGGTTGACTTGGGTAGGACAGTCATTATCACTGTCATTCTCACTTGCAGCAACAAGGGCACTTAACTTCTCCCTTTTGGGGCAATCTTTGACACGATGGGGGCCGCCGCAGAGAAAACAACCAGAATCAAAAGTTTTCTTCTTCTGGCTGTTGTCTGGCTTGTTAAAGTCAGCAACGTTCTTCTTTTTCTTCCAATCCGTTTTCTTTGCGTCTTTGGAAGTGTCAGCCTTATCTTTTTTGCCGCCACCATCCTTCTTTTTCTTAGGAGGGCCTTGGATGCTACCCATTTTGAAGTCAACAAGGCCATTTGCTGTAGAAATGGAAGTGTGCAGATCACGTACCCCCTGCCTTCGCAGTTCAGCCTGTGCCCAACCTTGTAGTCTGGACATAAAGTTGAAGAGTTTGTCTTCCTCTGACATGTTCTTGATGTCCAACATTAATAAACTAAACTCCTTCACGTAATCATGATCNTTTTCTTTGCGTCTTTGGAAGTGCCAACCTTATCTTTTTTGCCGCCACCATCCTTCTTCTTTTTCTTAGGAGGGCCTTGGATGCTACCCATTTTGAAGTCAACAAGGCCATTTGCTGTAGAAATGGAAGTGGGCAGATCACGTACCCCCTGCCTTTGCAGTTCAGCCTGTGCCCAACCTTGTAGTCTGGACATAAAGTTGAAGAGTTTGTCTTCCTCTGACATGTTCTTGATGTCCAACATTAATAAACTAAACTCCTTCACGTAATCATGATCTGTTCCGGTGTGCTTCAACTTTTTAAGTGAGTCCCTAGCAATCCAAGTTGTATTGCCAGGGAGGAATTGATCCTTCAATTCCTTTTTCAGGGTCTCCCACGTCTCGATCTTTGGACGACTAGCAGAGGCATCGTCCACATTCCAAGTCCTCCACCACAATTTGACATCACCAGATAAATACATATTGGTGATTGTTACTTTTTCTCTATCAGGCACATGGACTGCCTTAAAGTACTGCTCCATGTCCCAGAGGAAATTCTCCAGATCTTAGCGTTTCGGGTGCCTCCGAAGGTCTTTGGTTCAGGGACTTTAATCTTTGAAGATGTCTCGCCCACAGTAGGATGAGAATTCATGGCCCTCTTCACCATGGACACTTCATCTTCAAGATCCTTCAATTTGTTTTGACAGCGTCTGTGAGAGATATGATATCCTCCATCATTGTTTCAATCTTTGCATCGGTGTCAGATACATAACTATCAAAAGCCATCTGTAATCCCGCAATCTGAATAGCGTGCTGTTCCATCTGCATAGCTACGCTGGTTGCACCATCTGTCTGAGGGGCGCCTAGAAAATCTTTGAGACGAACAACATGTTCTCGCAATTCAGTAGCGTTTCCACCAGCCATGGTCGCAAAATGAAGCTCTGATACCAATTGTCACGGGATTAAATTTCTTACCAAATTTCTGTCTCGTGATAGCACTAAGATTCAACACTTAGTCTCAGCCAATCACTTAGAATGCACACAAAATGCACATAAAACAGAGAATGGACAGTAAGTAAACACACAGGCAAGACACACAGAATTTACAGGCAACAGTCAAACCTTTCTTTCTCAATAAAGTATAAGGAACTCAACCTTGGAGTCTGTTTGCAAAAACGTGCCAACTCTCTTGTTGCACTACAGACCCCAAGCACCCTATTTATAATATTCAGGGTCGCAGTTACAAGTCCAATTGCCTAGGCACATGTCTGTAATTCAAATGCTACTAGAGGTCTACTGTGATTGGATGACAAGGAAGTTATAACTGGTGTTTGTATGCTTGTCTGAATCTGACAGAGATCCCACATGCAATGCACTTGCCAAAAAACTGTCTATAACTGTCACCATCTGCAGAGCATATGCCCAACTTCCTCACATGTTGTGCATGTGTCAGGAGCCCTCAGCATTCGAATTGCATTACATTCGTACCATGGCCTAGCCCATGACGCATTATTCAAGTTAGCATCGCCCTACAATTCAAGTTATCCGCTTCCTTGCTTACATGCTGANGTCACCATCTGCAGAGCACATGCCCAACTTCCTCACATGTTGTGCATGTGTCAGGAGCCTTCAGCATTCGAATTGCATTACATTCGTACCTAACCATGGCCTAGCCCATGATGCATTATTCAAGTTAGCATCGCCCTACAATTCAAGTTACCCGTTTCCTTGCTTACATGCTGACTTGTGCCCACATGCTCATGTGCATGGACTGCCTCCCTCAATCATGCATGGGACTTCTGCCATTTTGGTTAAGGCATGGGTGCCTATGGGCGAGGCTACCCGATGTCAAATGCTGTCAATGGCTAAGGGGGTAACACTTCTCTACTTACTTTTTGCATTTGATTGTTGGGCCGTAACATCTAGATACGCATATATGTATTTTTTTTTTTCGGCAAAGTTGATTTTGGAAGTGGGCATATAAATGATGCAGCTGTTTAGTGTTTGATGAACCATCATGGACAAGCATGAAGTGCTACCTTTTAAAGTTGGTCAGCTGGCCGAGGCGAGGTCTTTTCTGTCAGGCTATCGTAGTGCATGGTTCCGGTGCAAGGTACAAATTTATATTAATATTCTCATCATTTTATCTGCAGTGAATTTTGGTTATATTTAATTTCAAGATTAATTTAAATAGGCGGTTTATGTATGTTTTGTGTACTTTAGGTTTTTAAGACTAGGAACACAACTAAATTAGGGCCTCTGACTTTTTAATTAAGCCCATCTTTTTACAATAGTTTACCCCGGACATATTTTTTGGTAATTATGCTATTTAAACACCAATAAATCGTTTAGGAACTCTAACATTTTTTATCGTGGAATTAAGAAGTCTAAGGTAAAGGAGGCATTATAGAAAATGAAGATAAGAAAATCTTTAGGAATTGATGATATAGATATGTTTAGTGGATGTGAGGGTTTCTTGGTTAACTAAATTACTCAATAAAATCATAATGACTAAGAAACTGCCCGATAAGTGGAGGAAGAGTATTTTGTCTTGTATATATACAAATATGGTGTACAAAGTTGCGCCAACTATTGAGATATGTCATTAAATGAAACTTTGGGAGACAGTAATTGGGTAAAAATTTGAGTTTGAAACAACGGTATCTAAGAATCAGTTTAGATTTATGCGTGAGAGATCAATAAACGAAATCACATACTTACTTTGAAGGCTAGTGGAAAGGTATAGGAAGAGAAATAAAGATCTTCATATGGTTTTTATAGAGGTAGAGAAGACATATGATTGAATCCCTAGATTTTATTATTGAGGGTTCTAGAGATTAAAAAAGTTACTATTACGTATATTGATGTGATTAAAAATATGAACGAAAATTTGACGACTTCAGTAAAAAGAACTACGATAGGAGAGGCTAATGAATTCCTGATCACAGTAGGCTTGCATCTGGTTCTGTTTTGAGTTTCTATATTTTTGTCTTGATTGTGGATGAATTAACTAGACACATTTAGGATGAGTTCTCATGGTATATGTTATTTGCGGATTATATAGTATTACTAGAAATCTTGTGACCGGTTTCAGAATAAAAAAAATTAAGAAAAGTAGGACTAAAAATAAATATATGGAATATAATTTTAGTAAAATGAGGAACCAAACCCCGAAGTATTAAATACTTTCAATAATTGGGGTTAGTTATCTTTATGGGTGTGAGACTTGTGACAATATTACTCATAAATTTAAAGAAGGATGAATTAAATCGAGGAATGCATCATGTGTAATAGGTGCATACTCATTAATTTAAAAGCAAAGTCATATAGAATAATTATAAGACCTGCTATACTTTATGGTACTCAACATTGACCAACTAAGAAATAGTACGTTCAAAAATTGAGTGCGGCAAAAATAAGAATGCTAAGATAAATATGTGATAAAACTGGGGAAGTATAGAATTAGAATTAAGAATATTAGCAAAAAAGTAGAAGCAGCATATATAAAAAAATATTAATAGAGAATTGACTTAGGTGATTTGGACATATCTATAGACGGCCTGGTGCGAAAGAATAATGTGGTAACTATTAACGGTAATTGAACAAGTATAGGAAAATCAAAATTAACTTCAAAAAAAATAGTAAAGAAAGATACAATAAGTTATGGTTTAACGGAAAGTATAATCCCCCTTAATAGAGCAGGATGGCAAAATAGATCATTTAACCATTATACATAGAAAATGAGACTCCATTTTTTACTCTGCGGTGAACTTTCCGTGGTGAACTTCCCTCGTGAATTCGGACTGCTATAGTCACACTGAGGAAGGGCTTCCATCCCAGTTGCCCCCTCGAACCATTTTTCCAATCTAAAAAAAAAAAAGATTATCAAAATCCATTTTTTGGTATTTAAATGGAAAAAGGAAAAAGCGTATGAGAGACAAATTTGTCCACAAGTTTCTTCCACTTTTTGTTACCGAGAGGTAGGCATTGAGAATGAGTCAAAAGTTTTGAGTTAAGGTTTTCACTCTTAGCGTTGTATGACAAAGCAATTCAGTAAAATTGATATTGAGGATCAATTTTCACTGTTGAATTTTTATGGAAGCTAAACGTTTAATAAGGGAAAATTTCCTTGCACTTACACCCCTTCTTTGTTATCATTCAGATAAAAGAGATTACCAGGATAAGGGGGCGCATTGTGCATGCCTTGGAATATTTTGATTTTCCAGATGAAAGTAAGTACACTGTACTTTTTTTAATTTATTTTTCAAGTGCCCAGGTTGTTGCTTAAGAATTACTGGAGTTCTTCAGTGCTATGATTTTCTGGCCATAAATATGTTCATAACTAATCCATTGAGACAAAACATCAAGAGCTTGTGGAGGATAATGCAACACTTATCTCACCAAATCACTGACGAGGGCAGCTCTGCTTCAAGACCACCTAAAATTATTAGACGGAAAGAGGATCAAGATATGAGACATAATGTCCTCTGATTTCAGTGCATGAACACTAGTTCAATTGATCCAAAATTCACCTTTTAGAAAGGATGCTTATTCCACCTTGATGTCAAGGTTGACCTTCATGCTTCTTGAGCTTGTCTACCAACAAGCTTCCAAATAGAGTTTAGTGTCGTCCAATATGCATTGAATTCTCAAACTGATTGGGCCAAACCATTTGTGTAAAAACACTGTAGCAATGTGCTTAGACAATTCTGATTAAACTTTGCGAGGAAGGCAAGAACCCTCTCTTACTAGTGTGTTGTAGCTGTTTTCCCCAATAGTTTTCACCAAATGGAGAAAGCTAATTTTCTTTAGTGTCAACTTAAGGGGAAATGATTGAATGCCGCGATGTGTGACTTATCAGGCATAGGAAAAAGTTTTAGATTTTGTAAGGCTGCTTTTCTACAGATTACCTTTTTTGTTGATAGTCCATCAAGAAAGTTCAGCTGTAGCCCTGTGGTGTAGTAGGTCGTCTTTCTTGAGCCCATGCTTCTTATGCCTTTTCATGAAGTGGTATTTGGGTCCCTCCCCCTATTCGTATCTTAAAGAGAGGTTAAGTTAGTTATTATTGTAATTACTCTTGGTATAATTTTGTCTGTTAAGTTGTAATCACTCACTAATGTTCTCTCCATTCCAAGACTTGAACACCTTGCTCTTTGAATGTGGCAAGAGATAGCATGCTAGCTATCAGCTTGTGGTATGGAGAACAAGATTTTTATGGAGCTAACTTTTGTTGGCTTCTTTCGTGACTGGTTACTGCCTAGGTTTCATGAGCACCAAGCAAAGAGCGTAGTATTCAGACTTTTTTTGTCTATTCACTGGGGGTTAATGGAATCTATATTAGAGAATCCAAGGACATGTTCAGCATGCAAACAAGGCATAAAAGTCAAAATAAGTGATCAGATATGCTGTACATACCAAGCACAAACTTGAACCAGTTTGTGAGAACTTCTAATTTCCAATAATATGTAGACGTATTCATGACTTCCGAAAAGTGGATTGGCAAATGCTAGTGTGTTTTCTTTGGACTATCTGCCTGTGAATTCCTTTCTAATTTGTTCCCCCATATCATGTGTTTGGTAGCCTGGGCAGCTGAGTTACCATATTGCCTCTGTGTTGACATTGGTTGTGGTTGGAGGGAAGTTGCTTCTGCAACCATGATCATCACTGTTTGGAGAACTTGATACAGCATTTACACTTGTAAAATTGGAATTTTAGATTTACCCAAAAAAATTTGGAATTTTAGAAAATAGTTAAATAAATCCTTTGCCAACTTTTGTAACTATCTGGAACATTCCCCATTGATTCATCTTTGCATCTGCATCCAGCCATTTGCCCACTCTATGATCCTTGGTTGATTCAATTTTCACATTTGATTCCCTTTCTCTTTCTAACAAGAATTCACTGTTCTGCTGTTTTGATATGTACTTCATTCTTCTCATCTATACCAATCTTCAATGGAATCTTGTTTTCCTCCAATTTGGTGGTCCTATGTTCTTCTCTCCAACTTCTTTTATGTTTACCTAGCAACTCATTTAACCTGTAGCATCCAGTTCTATATTCGCCTCCTGCTGAAAAATTGTGTTTCCCTCATCAAAATGCCCATATATCTCCCTTTCTTCCTTCCTCCACACCCTGGTATCTTCCTTGAAGAACAATACCTGGCAGGGGTTAAGGACCCTTTTTTGCTTCCCAAAATTGTCATTCCATGATACTTGCAGCAGATCAGAAGTTTTATAGTTTATGTTTTCTTAATTTTCCGTCTTTTTCAGTGCTAGTTAATGTGCTGTCACAAAAAGGTAAAACTGCAGAGATATAACAAGGCCCCAACCATAGAAGTAGCAAGTGATGAGTCATAAGAGGGCAACTGAAATTGTATCATGGCCTCCCACATTGTACATATTGTGGTTTTAATGGTAATGACAATTGACAAGGCCCTGCAGCAACCCAAGCTATCTCTGATTCCTTATCCACTTTATTTATCCTCTGCTATGCATTTGTACTGCTATCCTTCATGACTTTTGTGGTAATTGTGATCAAACTGTTGATGGATTTAAATAGAACGTGTGCTTTTTCATATTTATGAAATCATCCTATTAGTTAGAAGTCAGCATAACATAGTGGACTATAGTGGGGGACCCTGATTCCTCTCCCATATCTGGCTGCTTTTTCTTTCCATAATGTGAGATGGTGGAAAATGCTTGAAACACGAAAAGAGAAAATAAATTCTGCAAAACTTGAAGTGCAAACTTTTTTTTTTTTTTTGGTAAGAGTTATATTTATTTGCAAACTTAAAAGAAGTCTTTGGACAGTTTTTTTTAACACACAGAAAGCCAATTTTTTCCGGTTTGTTTTTGGTGTTTACAGAAGTAAAGTTGACAAGACTATACCAGGTGCCCCCACTTTATGGTAAGAAGTCTAAAGGGATAAAACGATGGTTGATGGTGCGGCCGTGCTACCCACCTGTCTACCATAAAAGCCAGATGCCTCATGTCAGGGAAATCTCAGAAGTGGCAGTCATTGTTGATGGTGTGTGGAAGGTGGGGGATTTGGTAGATTGGTGGACTGATGGTTGTTATTGGTCTGGAACAATTACTCAAATATTGGCAAACGGCAGGATTCAGGTAGTATTTTTTTCACCTGTTCCATTCGTTTAAACCAAATATTTGTTTACTAGGAGCTTCTCGTGAGTCATCTCGTCTTAAAAATCATCATGACGAGGTGTTAACACATATAATTTAAACATACCATGATAATCATCTCAATACACTGCCATAAGTATGAGCCACTTGTTGACGTGTACTTCTTCTAGCGTGTTGAGTTCTTAAAGGATTATTCACGAACTATACTGCTGCAGTTATTCATGAATGGTACTGGTATAAAATAAATATAAACGTTTCTTTGGCATCACCAGTGCATGTGTTTAGTGGTTCTTATGCAAATAATTAGGACTATGTTGCATGTTCAGCACTCGACATCAACAAATAGTTGAAAAATTGTTGTCAGATGAGACGGAAATCCTCTCCCTAATATTACAGATTAGGCGGCCTAAGTTGGGTTTGAGGATTTTTATGGTTATTGTTGGGAAGTGCGCTTAGTTCTTTCATCCTGGGAGGGAGAGAAATGCTCATACTTGTAAAAATGAACACAAGGATCTTGTTATTGTGAGGAGTGAATTTGTAATTGAGCGTTGGAAATAGACTCCTTGCATCAAGGAGACTGAATAAAACTCGGACATACGAATGGCTTTGAAGTGAGCGGCAGCTTACTGATAATCACTATCCTTCTTTATAAAGTAGGTTTGATTGAGCTTCTGTGCTCCCCTGTTTGGAGTGATGTTTTATTTTTGTTGCTTGGAAGGTTTTGCTTGTTTGGTGTTTGGAAGATTGCTTCTTGTGGAGAGTTGTGGTTTCTTTCCCGTGTGTTCAATGCAATCTGTGAGAGGGTCTATTAAAAGGGGTCTCATCCTTACCTTTTCTTGTATTATGATTCCTTGTGTTAGGCTTTACTTGAGTTCTATTGTTTTTGGAATGCCATATATATGGATTATTGCTCTATGTCTAGTAATATTTCTTTCTTACCAGCAAAAAACAAAATTGTTTTACCTCAACATTAAATGGAAAATTCTGCAATCTGTACAACACATATGAAACAAACTAACAAATACACCAAAGTAAAATAAAGGAAGGAAGAAAGGAAAAGAAGATTGTGTAATCAAAGAAATTGACCAATTTGAGGACAAGGAGGCTCCTTGGGAAGACATATGGGATAAAATCTCTTTCATGACATCTCTTTGGTTGTCTACATCCAAAGGATTTGAAGGGACTTCGTTATTTTCAGTAAAAGATCATTGGGCTCAAGTGTGTGAACTGTGAACTGTGAACTGTGAACTGTGGTGCCACTTGAATACCTCATTTCTTTACCTTGTTTCTTTATTGTTTTTAGTTAGTGTGGGCTTTCTTTTCTTTTGCTTGGTTTATGTGACTATAGAGGACCATTCATCATATACTCTCGGTTACTGTCAAAAAAGAAAGAAAGAAGATCGCTGATTCTCCGAATTGAATTGTATCTTATTTCTTTACCTTGTATTTTTACTTTTTTTTCAGCTAGTTTGGGTTTTCTTTTCTTTTGCTCGCTTTATTTAATTATTGAGGATTCCTTGTCCTCTCATGTACTCCTTTATTTTCACCATGCATAATATACTCTCGTTTACTATCATAAAAGAAAGAAAGAAGATTGGGTAATCTGACTCAATTGAATTGTAAACCATTCCAAAATGTCTTTACTTGACAATTTGAGCCTGTATGGCTGGCATTATACAGTTACCCATTGTTACTCCGATTTCTTGCAAATCTTTTGCACCTTTCTCTTTTATAAGCTCACCCTACTGTACAATATGTTTTTACATATTCTTACACTTACGACACATTGTATCCCAAGCTTGCTGAATTCAACCAGAAGGGAGATTAGGACACCAAAATTTGTCAGGTTTGGTCATGAAATGTTCCATGACTGGGCAAAATTTTTGAATATTTGGGGTCTTTTTCTCTGAAAAAAACATTTTGTAGGAACACCCTTTTTTGGAGATTAAACTATCTTCCAGATCTGCTTTGCTCATGAGAGACATGTTATTGATTTGTATTTTATTTACAGATATGTTTCTTGTTTCTTGTTTATTTGGATTTCTGTTTATATCTATATAGTTCTTGTGTTTTCTTTTCTAGATCGAACTGCCCCATCCTCCTCTGGGTGAAGGCGCATCTTATGAAGTTTCTTGCAATGACTTGCGTCCTTCTTTAGATTGGTCTCCGGATATTGGTTGGACTGTGCCTTCTTCTATGGTAAATTCCTATACTCCTCTGTCTGCATATTTCTGTGTGTTTTTACTCATTTTCCCTTGGAAAATCCCGTGGATTCGAGAGAGTATGCCGTGGAAATAACTTGTCAATTTTTTATTTCTTTGATCTGAATATTTTCTTTAAGATGGAGTCGTACAACCTGGGAATCATTTCCAGTTAAATAACTAAATCTCTTTTCACATTCGCTAATGATAACTCTCCTTTTTTTTTTTTAATTCCAAGAATTTAATTGCTGGTGATAAATTAAACAGACGGCTCNCAGAGAGTATGCCGAGGAAATAACTTGTCAATTTTTTATTTCTTTGATCTGAATATTTTCTTTAAGATGGAGTCGTACAAGCTGGGAATCATTTCCAGTTAAATAACTAAGTCTCTTTTCACATTCGCTAATGATAACTCTCCTTTTTTTTTTTTTAATTCCAAGAATTTAATTGCTGGTGATAAATTAAACAGACGGCTCCTTTACTTCATTGTTGTTTCTGTCTTCTCTTGTTCTGTGTCTTTCTCCTGTATGCTGACTTCTAGATGCTTCTTTATTTTTCCTTCTGTATTGCTTCATGCTAATTCTGTCCGGTCATTTCTCATGTGAGCTATGTCTTATTACAGGATGGTGAAAACATTCGTTGCTGTGCCCGGCTTATTCAGCCAAAGAACCCAGGTATGTTCNTTTTCCTTCTGTATTGCTTCATGCTAATTCTGTCCGGTCATTTCTCATGTGAGCTATGTCTTATTACAGGACGGTGAAAACATTCGTTGCTGTGCCCGGCTTATTCAGCCAAAGAACCCAGGTATGTTCAATGCCAGACTACACTTCTGCAGCCCTTGGTGGCCAAGGTTTGCAATGGCCCTTGTTTTATAGGAATATTTCTTTCATTTTTGAATGAATGCTTCTAAACATCTATCTCTGCTACATGTAGCAGTAGAGCGTACATGAATGTACACTTGCAGTGCATTTTATTTTGCAAGATTCCGATGTAATTTGCTCAACTTTTGCATTATTCCAGCTGCTGGGGCCTTTCCAGAGATTCATGCCATGGAAGAAGGAAGGAAGTACTCCGAGGACACAGCTGGATCTTCGTTTAATGTTTCCATCTCTTCTCATAGGTCAGATAACTCATTACCAGCACCAGATAAATCAAAGCGCTCCAGAACCGGGGAGCTTCTGGAACAACCTTTGAGCACTGTTCCCAAGGAGACGATGCTTATAACAGAAACAAATATGGAGGCGGGCATGGGGGATAATGGTGCTGGAAAGACAAGTTGTTCAGATAGTGTTTCTAGTTCACACGGCAGAGATGCTTCAGCTGAAGTCACAGGACAGAATGTTGGGGAGGACCTGCATTGTCCCAGTGGGTCTAAGAAATCCAGAGACACCGAGGGAGTACTTTCGAATTCAATGTGTTCCGACACTTTAGAAGCTGCAATTTTGGATTTGGAGGAACTTGCAAACAAGGTTAAATGGCTTAAGGGAATTCTGCAATTTGGAGTTCCTTTGTCTACAACCGCGAGGCCTTCATGGAAGTTTGTGGAACAACGTCCATCTTCCGTACCAAAATGATTGCTTCAAACAAGTGTAAGCTTGCATACCTTTGGCTTGCGTAATTTCGGGTTTTTGTTCTTTGCAGTACCTTGGTATAGGTAGCAAGCCACCAGTAATTTTTTAAAATCTAGATCCATCGACTGATATTCAGAGTTGGAACTTGCAAAACAACATTGTGTTCAAGAGAGTAGTGAGATTTTTTGATCATTGTGAACTTCGGTTAAGTTCAAATCTTTATAAAACTGATGGCACCTGGAAATTGTACGGCACTCGACTCTTATGTCTACAAATTTTGTTGTAATATAGAAATGTTGACTCTTATTTTTGTGAAACCAAAATTTTCTTGTGAAGTTGTTTTGGGTTTTTTTCTTTTGGTAACGGGGTGTACGGTTAGCTTATATGTATCTCGACCAGATCTGGTCAAAAGGTTATTCTCCAAACTTTTAATTGCTTTCTGTACTTTTCTTTGGGTTGTATCTTTCAAGGATGTGTTAAACTGGTTGAGTAAATTACAGAAACATCCCTCAATGTTTTGTGAAAAACATTGTGGCCTTGTCTTAAAAATCATGCACTCTGGTGGTGTTAATTTTGCCAATTTACCCTGTTGTCAAGTTACAATCTTTTATATTGTTCAAAATAAGACATAATTAATCATAATAAAAACTAAATTTTTTTCTNTTTAAAAATCATGCACTCTGATGGTGTTAATTTTGCCAATTTACCCTGTTGTCAAGTTACAATATTACAATCTTTTATATTGTTCAAAATAAGACATAATTAATCATAATAAAAACTAAATTTTTTTTCTAACAGTTGTAAACTATATTTAAAAAATATAATTTAATCATAAAAAATGNCTTAAAAATCATGCACTCTGGTGGTGTTAATTTTGCCAATTTACCCTGTTGTCAAGTTACAATCTTTTATATTGTTCAAAATAAGACATAATTAATCATAATAAAAACTAAATTTTTTTCTAACAGTTGTAAACTATATTTAAAAAATATAATTTAATCATAAAAAATGATAAAGTATCGAAATTTTTTATTCAGTCCAGTAGAATTACCCACTGATTTGTAGACAATTAGATTCATAATCAAAACGGGGGTGCCCGAGAGACGAGGACAGACCAGTGACCGCGAGGCACGTGTCCAAGTGCCGGCAGTACACTCCCTACAAGTCTCTCGAGGGGTAATATTGTCAATCAACCTTGGAATTTGCACACGCTAGGGCATCGGTGTTTCTTTTTTGGGGAGGGGAAACACCGGACAAACAACCCCCATCGTCCACTTTATCTCTGTTAAAGAGAGGTTTAGGGTTTGAAGGTGCACATGCAAGTCCCAGCCCCACACCCCCAAAGTTGACACGTGGACATTTGATTATGTTATTTAAACATGAAATGAATTGGTGAATTCCTCGATGTGGGATTGAAGAAACTGTTGATGCTCATTTGATGGTGAAGCATATTGTGGGAGATGGAAGTGGGACCTTTACTTACAAGTGGGTACACATGGGGTCCATTGATATACATAAAAAAAATGAGCCGGCCATTACCATACTCAATATTGCAATATAATTTTTTTTGTCTGTATTATCACATTATATTTAATAAAAATACATCATGCACACACATATATATATATTTTATTATTTTTTCAATTAATAATTGTAGATTATTCAAATCAAATGACATATAAGGCCTTCTCCGACAAAAATAGGTGATAGATAGGAACACATTTATATACATATATTTGTGTGTATGTGCAAATGGAATATTTGATATATATTCAAGACTATGTGCACATGAAGGGAGATGACCAAGAGGTTGAAACAATCCATCTGCAGCTCCCTGCAGGGCAGCCTAAGGCAATTTATGACTTCAAACGAAAATACTAAATGTTGTTTTTTTAACATTTAGTATAATTTTTTTAGGCTTAAAGCCAAAATTCTAAATGAAGTTTCTTTTATTTATAGTATTAATTTTTTTAAAAAAATTAATATATTTTAAATTTATTGTGTTGAACTTTTATTTTTATTTTTTACAGGAGAGAGAGTTTTATTTCAATTTTTTTTTTACCTGAGAGAGAAAATGGGTAAAGATAAATATGAGTTAATTTTTGAGTACTTTTTTTTGTAACTTTTGATTTTTAGGTTTCTAATGTTATGGATTTGATAATGGGCCCAATAAAAATTCTGAATGCACTTAATTTTTTGAGGCTTTTTTAGGGCTTAAAATCCCATTAATTTTTTTGTCGACTATTAATGTACTTAAAATTATAAAGCCTCCCAAAAATTTGAGGCCTAAAACTCGAGTAAATATTGAATGCAACAGTGATACCATGTCACCATTAATGTTATGGTATCACTAACCAATAATAAAACCTTAAATAGGAAAGGTGAACTCCACTTGAACTTACATGACAGAAAAGTGAGGAGTCATTTCCTTACATGACATGTTAGTTATTGATTTTTGTGGGATCGATCTATTTATTTGTTTTATTTTTATTGGTCGATGATACCACATCACCTTGCTACATAAAATCACCATTGTAATGAATATTTTCTCCTAAAACTCATGCTTTACTGTCAACACCACTTGGATTTTTATTTTCTTTTTTCAAATTTTCATCACCACTGTCTAGTCCAGACTCATCCCAATCCCATGTCATATCCTGACCGTATCCTTTTCATTATTTTTTATGTAACGATTCTAGAAAAGATTAGATAAAGAGTGGTCAATATGTGAGAGACATTAGGTTTGAGGAATAGTAAATTGTGTTTGTTTTGTACTGGTTATTTGGATGTGAATGATCCATTTTAAGAAAACCATTTTAAAATCTTTATGTCTTATGCTAGTTTTACAAGTCTCCATCTCCATCTCTTTATAGAAATAGAAATAAGACCATATTAGTAGTTATTGTCGGTTCCGACATGTGATGGAGTGTGTGTATATATATATATTTTGTGAAAATAAATGTCTTCTTCTATGTGATGATACTCTTTCTAAAATCATTGACTGGACAATAAGAAATAAGGTATCGTGTGGAATATGAACCCACATGGATCACAATATCGTTGATAATGAAAATATAAATCAACAAGAAACCATTCGCTAAAGAAATTCAGATGAAGAAGTCAAAAAGCCTCGACCGGTCACCCTAATTCACCCGTTGCTCTTGGACACATTCCATTTGTCACTTTTACCCAGATGAGGCTTGTGAAAGTAGGTCACGGCTTTTTATGTTAGGATTGGTAATTGAGCTGTGCTATTCGGTTCAGTTCGGAGAAAACTCGATTAGAGTTCAATTCGTATTCTAAATGAGTCGAACTTGAATTATTTTTTTAGTCCATTTAGAAAAACTAACTTATAAGGCTCAGTTCAACCTCGTAAAACTCAATTCGTTTATATCGAGTTCGGCTTGTCTCGGGCTCGACTTATTTTCTAAACAAATCAAATTGAACAATTTGTATTCCATTAAATTTGTCTTTTGATAGAGATATGCCAATTGTGTCCTTGTGATGCTGTGGAAAAAGATTAATATTTTGTAAAAATATATATGACTCTTGTATAATTTAGATAACCAATGAATCTTTGGTCCAATGGAACTCTTTGTCTTGTAAAGATTTTGCCTTCTTGAGGTCAAGGATTCAAGTCTCCCTCCCCTTCCCTTTCATCCTCCCAAAAAAAAAAAAAATTGTATAGCTTAGGGTTACTAATCTTTCTTCCCTCTAAATTTTATTTCTCATTTATTCTTTTTTCGTTTTCTCCATTTCTCTATCTAACCTCCAAAGTACATATCAATTATATATGCAAATTTGTAAACTTAGTATTCAAGTTAATTTTGATTTTAATATATTTAGTTAAATAAGTTTTTTATGTAATTAAGTAGTATTTCGAAGATTTCACATTGGGACCATTTGTAATATTAGCCAAGTTGTATCAGCAAGTGGGTTGCCTATATTGGCAGGCTACAATTGCTTTTCTTAGTGAAGGACAGAATTGGATCACCAATAATGGTGAAGAATAGTCCAATAGCTAGCAAAACTGCCAGTATATATGGTCAGCATGTCACAGATCTTCCCATAATGAAAAAAGGATAAGTATTAAAATCATGATAGAATATGAAAAAAAAAGATGAAATAAAGTCAAGGGTGATTGGACCACAGATGAAGCTAAGGCACGGCATGGGATTGGGGTGACCATGGCCCAGGGATGGCACTGCCTCGAAACGGGGATGGAGAGTGTAGTCTCTATTCTAATGCTAGCTTAAAATTGTTTTGTTCATTTTCGATCCACCCTCGTTATCGGACATAATTTTTATTCTCATTCTTGTTCGTGAGTAAATTTGTAATCCTTGCCCTCGCTCCGTCCCCCTCCTTCACTCTCGCTCCCACCTCTGTCCACCTTACCCGCCCAAGCCCAAGCCCAAACTAACATAATCTAAAATTCTATTAAATCTAACATTCTAAAGAATCCAACATAATTATAGAATATTATAATATAATTAAAAGCTTGTCATGTACAATATAATCCAACATAATATAATTAAAACCTTATCTACAACATAATCTAACATAATATAATTAAAAGTTTGTCTTCCATGTAAATCTAACACAACATCATGCAACACGACATCATGTAACATAACATAATCTAATATAAAAAAATATAAAAACACAATTATTTATACTTTTACAAGCCAAAAATATGAAAAAAAAAATCAAAATAGAAAAAAATTTACAAAAGGAAAAAATCATTCAATAATATGTATGTTTGTATTCACAGTAACATATATGTGGGTGTGTGTGTGTGTATATAATAATAATAATAATAATAATAATAATAATTTGCGGGTTGATTTTTACACAATTAATAAAAAAGACAACTCTCTCCCTTGGTGAACTTATGTTTACCTAGAAAGTCGGCAATCCCGTGGCAAAGGAACGGTCAAAAGTGGCCTAAGGATTGGTGATGAGTTGGCCTTCAGGCTGTCCGATAGATTCCGGCATGCTGAAGTGTTTTTCAACATATCCTGGCACTCAAAAGAAAGGTTAGAAGGGCGCCGAAATATTTTCGGCATATCCTCTCTGACGATCAAATGAGTTCTTTGAGAGAGGGGGAAGAAGAAATGACTATTTTGTGTTCTTGAGAGGTGATTTTGCGTATCTTTATTTTACATTTGTGAGAGCTATTTATACCTCTATTGAGGTAATCATTGCAAACAGGTGGGTCTATTGAAAGGAAGCCCCTCATTGGTCCTTTTGAAAAGCAACCTGTGGAGTACAGTTCTAGGGCAGAATGTCTTTCTTGTCACAAGAAGTCTCTGTATTTAACGCTTGGATCCCCGAACATTTAATGCACTCCTCCCG